ACCAATAGTTCGAAGAAGAAAGTTAGCCGCTCCCTGGCTAAAAAAAACCATATTAATAGAAACAACATGGAAAATAAACGAGACGAAATAAAAAGGGAAGTAGGTGAAAAAGCAGCGGAAATTCGCAAAATTTGAGAAGAAATAAGAAGAGAAAAAGAACAAGCCAAAGAAAAAATTATTGAAGAATTAAAAGGCATTAAACGCACTACCGGCCAACATCCAGGAGGTCTGATGATTACTTTACCACATACGGATATCCATAAATACACCCCATTGAATTATCCGGCCGATAACCGGCAAGCCGAATGAATGACTACTCATTTTGAGTATAGTTTTTTGTCTGAAATATTCTTAAAAGTTGACATTTTGGGTCATGACGAGCCTACCGTTTTACAAAAATTATTTCAATTAACGGGAGTTAACCCGTTAAAAATCTGTTTCCAGGACCCTAAAATAATGGAAATTTTTACTAAGGCCGACACTTTGGGAATTCCGGAATTTGGCACTGACTTCGTGCAAAAAAACTTATTACGACCTTTGCAACCCACCAAATTCTCGGAGTTGCTCCAAATTTCCGGTTTCTCGCACGGGACTAACGTCTGAACCCAGAATCAACAAGCCATTTATAAAAATAAAGAATTGTCGCTGAATAAATTAATTGCTTGTCGCGAAGATATTTGAAATTTCCTGGTTTCTTGGGGAGTTGACAACAAAAATGCTTTTATTGCTACCGAGTACATTCGTAAGGGTAAGTGAGAAAGTCTGGCGGAAAACATTAAGCAGGAAATAAAAAGGAAATTGAGCGACCGGGAAGGGGAATTATATTTTTCTATTCTGAGTAAAATTAAGTATATTTTTCCCAAGCCTCACGCTATAGCTTATACTACTACAGCTTGAAGAACCGCTTATTACAAAGTTTATCATCCGCAGGAATTTTATTCGGTGCTGCTAACTTGTCATGCCACTGTTTACGACATTTGGCTAATGACTTTGGACCCCGCCGCCATCATTTTTCGTTTAGAAAGTTTGTTAGAAAATCCGCTTAATTACAAAAATAACGAAAAAGAATTGTTATCTATTATTAGAGTTTTAGAAGAGTTAGCCAAAGAAAAAAAACGCAATTCGGGCCAAAGAAAAATAGTTGACCTGACTACTATTTGCGAAAACATTAAGCAGAAAATTAATAATTCCTCTAACGAAAAATTACGGGAAAATCTTCGAAAAAATGGGAAAACTTGAAAATTTACCATGAAAGAAAAACAACTATTATTTACCTTGAAGGTAATTTGAGAGATGGAAAACCGTGGTCTCGGCTTTACCCGCGGCATAGACTTAAACAAATCGGAAATTCGGGATTTCAAAATTCAGGATAACACTATTTATTTTCCTCTCAATGCGATTGCGGGATTCGGGGAAAAAATTGCCGAAAAAATTGTTAATTATCGCCAAGAAAAATTTCAAATTACTAGTAACTGACAAGAAGAATTAAAAGAAACACTAAATACTAATCACCTGGAACAATTGGCCAATTTACAAAAGTATAACTTACTGATTAATTTGTAAAAAAAATCGCTCCAAATAAATTACAAAGGGGGAAAAGTAAAAAAAATTTTAGAAGTTAGCAGCCGTGAGCAACCATGCTCTTCTTTGTAAAACAAATGATATGACGAAAAGTATTGAAAAAAAAATAAATGAACTATTGAAAAAAGCAGCTTATTTTCCTTTAAAAAAATTTGTAATGCCTTTTCTGGCTCCTCTATTTATTATTCCTAATTATTTTAGTTTCATCGAGAGTAGGATGGTGAAAGAAAAAGGCTTGAAATTGGAGAGAAAAATATTGTTATTCGCTACTCTACTCTACTTTACCATATCTTTTTATTTTGCTGTTTGTCAAGTTTGCTACGAAATTAAATATCCCGCAAAGCCACCGCTTTCTCATTAAAGTTTATATTTTTTAACAATTTCTTCTGGCGAAATTTGCGGATTAAGCAAACTCTTAATTGGCTCATAATTTTTGCGGTGTAAATCACAAACCCCGTAACGAAAAAGAGCGGCTAAGTGAGTTTGGTTGGGATAACCTTTATTATTAAACCAGTCGTAATGAGGAAATTTTTGGTGGAGTTTTTTCATAATCTGGTCCCGTGTGACTTTAGCGATAATTGAAGCAGCCGCAATGTTAATTGACTTTCTATCGCCGCCAATAATGCTGCGGGTTCTAATCCCCGGAACAGTTATCTTTTCTTTCCCGTCAACTAAGGCCAAATTGGGAATATTGTGTAGGCTACCGAGGGCTTCTGCCATAGCTTCCTTGGTTGCTTGTAAGGGATTTTTTTCTTCAATTTCTCGCGGTGATTTAAAAATCACTTTATATTCCAACGCATTCTTTTTAATAATCTGATAAGTTAGATTTCGTTGTTGGGGAGTAAGGATTTTGGAATCCTGGATAAAGGGAGATTGAAAATTGGTTGGTAAAATGACTGCCGCTACTACCAGAGGACCCGCCAAAGCCCCGCGTCCGGCTTCATCAACACCTGCAATTAACGGGTATTTTTTTCATAGTTTTAATTCCCAATTAAGAGTTTTTTTCACAATATTAACAGTTGTCAAAATTATTCCCTTTTGACGGTATCGTGGTCGAAAGTTATTATATATTATATAATATTTAAAGAAAAAAGTTCACGAGCAAACTAAAAACACCCCACCCTCACCCTTAAAAACTCTCGCTGTCTACGGCTTTCTGCTCTCCCTGCTGGGGAATTGGCTGTTAATAATGCTTCTGCTTCGTAACCACAAAAAACCGCCTAAACCCCGCCCGGCTACTAAGGTAAAAAAAACTAAACCAACCACTATCAAAAGCACTCAGGAAGAACTCCCACCCCAGTGAACCGAACATTCC